CCCCAAAACCCCAAAACCCCAAAACCCCAAAACCCCAAAACCCCAAAACCCCATTTGATAATAATAATATTGAGTTTGAACCCCTGCCTCTAATATGTCTTATGATTTAGAAATTAATAGTTCAGCTACGAGGTAAGATTGGATGGTCAAGCGGCCGAATTTTAAGATTTCAACTGATTTTGGGGAATTTTGACTGGGGAATTTTGGATGGGGATTTGGGAATTTGAGGGCTTTGGGTGGGGGTTTTGGTCGGAAAAGAACGTTGATTTTGGGGAAATAGGTGGTAATGAGGGGGTTATAGGAGATCACCCTTGGTGGATAAGTCCAGTGGTAGTTCGTTGAATGATACGATAAATGGGAGATCAGCTGAGGAGATTAAAGAGTTGTTAGAGAAAGTTAATAATAATATCTATTCTCTTGAGAAATATACGCTTACTTTGACGAGTGGGAAGGGAGTCAATAAGCAACAAATGAAAGCTAACGAAAAACTAATGCTGGACTGTCTTAATAATCTCCGAAGAGCAAAAGAGCTTATAGCCACATATGACAGAAACGACGCTCCGATTTATAGAAGAAAATTGGCTACCATAAGCGATAGAGTCGAAGAAGTTGTAAAGTCAATAAGAGACAAGGAGCAAAGAGGTCTTGCTGAGGCAAAAAGATCCATGAATAGGCTCTCTGAAGATGAACGTTATCAGGAAGAAGATAAGAAGTAAGCATATTGGGTAAAAGTCATTTTAGAGAGAAATAAGCAACTTCTGCTCAAGCTTGAAGGTGAAGTCAAAGTCCTCGAAGAAGCAGACTATATCAATGATGTTATCGATGAACGGCAGGCTCAAATCGACAAAATTGGAAACATCATGAATGGAATCAGAGACATCTCTCAGGACTTCAACATGGAGGTCGAGGCACAAGGAGAAAAGCTGGTCAATGTAGACAATAACATGGAAAATGTTGCAGGGAACACTAAAGAAGCGACAAAGCAGCTCCAGCAAGCAGACAAGAGGTCGAAGTCAACCGGAAAATGCCTTATAATCATAGCTGCAATTATTTTCTGAGCATTAGGAGCTCTTGTTGGAATTTTGTTTGCTACTGGCACTATTTAAGCATAAAGCTTTGGTTATTATGACATGTGAAGAGAATCATTTCTCTTGAGTAATAATAGAAGATTAATAATTGCTCAATGCTTTTTCAATTTTTCTCCAACCAGAAGGGGTTTTGGGGTTTTGGGGTTTTGGGGTTTTGGGG